TATGGTTTGAGGACAGCAATTCCTTGTTGAACTACTTAGGTAATCACATATGTTTGAGTTCAGTTGATTATTATAAAGGACCACTTAGAATTTCAGAATATCAGTAAAAGTAAAAACTGCATAATGTGAAACTATAAAGTCTAGGATTTCCCATGTCTTAAACATGTATATGTTCACTTACTAAAATGCATGCTTGGCTGAGTGTCATTCTTCTGGAGGTGCCATTATTATGTCCTTATAAGTTCAATAGTTATTATTAAAACAAATTATTGAATACATATATTATGTTCAAAACACCATATTAGTTCTTGCAGGTAATTAAAAAATGTATGTACTCTGTACAGAACACATCATCTTCCATTACTTAGCACCAAATCCTGTGCTTCTTTCCAATCTTTTTTATTAGATATCATTTAACTTAATCAAATGATGCATTGAAGTGGGAAAAATGTAATTATTCTAATAAAACCAAGAAATTAAAATGTTTGTGAATAAAACAAATGACAATAAACTGTAAAGTAAAATAATGGAACAATCAGTCTAGGTAATAATTGATGCTTGTTATGGAATCAATCTTTCTTTCTCTCTCTTTTTTTCTTTCTTTCTTTCTTTCTTTTTTCTCCCTTCCTTCATTTCTTTCAGATAGGGTCTTGCTATGTAGTTCAGGTTGGTCTGGACTCACTTTGTAGCCCAAACTGGCCTCAAACTCAAGGCAATCCTCCTACCTCAGCCTCCTGAGTGCTGGGATTACAGGTGTGCGCCACCACTCCCAGTTTATTTATATCTTTATCAAACTAATTTTGTAACCTAGAGTAAAGAACTCTGAGATAGATATTTAACTCAGTTATACAACAGAGAACTCACTGAAAAAAAATAATTTCTGCTAACTGAGCTTGCATTTATTTGTAGCAACACAAGTACACATATTTTTTTATTTTAAAGAGAAAAACTATAAAAAGGTACAGAATTTCAAAGCAAGATAATAGGAAATTAAGAATGGCTATTATATTACCTATTGTTTTCTTTATTTTTTGAGATAGGGTCTTGCTATGCAGTTCAGGCTGGCTTTGAGCTCACTTTGTAGATCAAGCAGGTCTTGAACTCTCAATGATCCTCCTGCTTCAGCCTCCCCAGTACTGGGATTACAGGCTTGCACCACCACGCCTGGCTCAATATATTACGTATTCTTGTCTTCAAAGTAGTTGCTCAGATTACCAGATACAGGCATGCAAATTTGATCAGACAATATAAGTGTTCCTTTCAATGAACTAATGGAAACTAGTACAATTATCTTAGCTATCCTGTGTATATAGCATATCTTTTTTTCCTTTTCTTTTTTTCTCTTTTCCCCCCACCCCAATTGTTTCCCTGTTGAGCAATTATTTTCCCTTTCACTATATCTATTGTACCTTTTGGATCTTATTTACTCTTTCAGTTTCTTACTCTAGGGAGACAATACGATGTTTACACATGTGTGTCTGTTTTATTTCCCTTATGAGTATGATCTAGTTGCATCCTTTTAATAAAAGCCTCGAGTTTATCTTTCTTTATAGCTGAGTAGTACTCCATTGTATAAAAATACCACATCTTTTTTATCCATTGCTTGGTTGATGGACATTTGGGTTGTTTCTAAAATTTACCTACTACAAATTGTGCTGCTATAAACATGGGTGCACATATAGCGCTGTGGTACGATGTTTTCATTTCTTCTGGGAAGATACCCAAAAGCAGAATAGCTGTATCGAGTGCGACCTCTAATGCTATTTTTTGAGGAATCTTGTTAGAAGTGTCAAGAAAGTAACAAGTATAAATCCTATCATGACAGTGTACAGGGAATGCATATACACTATTTCTTCATTACATTAGCTTTTTTGTGAAGATGTTGTGATTTTAGAGAAAAAATGTTTAATTTTAATACTTACTGCTATTACAAACCTTCTCCAACTCAGGAGCAACACAGTTGTCCAATTGATCATGTTTCACAGGCAACATTGAATACATTTCCTAAATTGTTACCTTGACTATAATATTAATACATGTATACATATATATTAGTCATAGTGGCATATACCTAGTATATGCATAAGTAATGCTTTAGGGAAGTATTACTAAGTGAACACAAATCAAGTGACTTAATTTTTAAGAACCACTGAATTCTATATAAGTTAAAACAGCCATGGAAATCATTAGGGATTTCAAAATATACATTGTGAATATATATTATGAATATATATATAGTGAATATATATTATAAATATATATTTCGAATACGCAAAGGAGTTGAGTGTAGCGCAAAGGAGTTGAGTGTAGCTCAGAGTAGCTCAGTGGCAAAATACTTATGTAGCATGTGTGAGGCCCTGCAGTCCGTTCCTAGTACCACAAAAACAAAACAACTCTGATAATGTGTGGTTGTGAATGTATACGTATTATAATAAAACTTTTGGTACCTTTTTGTATACAGTGAAAATTAATATATTCAACATTATTTTTAAGAAATAACCCATCTCCACCTCTGTGTACTGAATATGGTATGGCACGTATATTTTTCATGTCACCAGCTTGCCCTGACAAGGTCAACCTTACGGAGAAGTGAAGTAGACAAAGACCTTACATCATATGAGATAATATTTGAAGCACACTTCCTTTCAGCTCATTGAGTGATTCAATTACTAGAGGCACATTTCCAATGTTAAAATCTGCCTTTCTCTGGTGAACTCTTACCATCTTGTCTAGTGAAATTCTGTATCATCTCTAAGGTTTTATTGAAGAATTATTTTCTTATTCTCTTTAATGGTTTGAGCAATCTTTCATTCTTACATCTGGTAATCTGAGCAATGTAGTTGAGGACAGCAATATGCAATGTAACAACCACTGCTGATTTGTATTAATTTGTCTTGAGACCCTGTATCACTTTGAATGTTTTTGCTTTGATTTGTTTATGTTCGTGATACTGGTATGCTGCTACTGATCTATTTTTTGTTTGCTTGTTTCTCATGTATTACTCTCTTTATAATAAAGAAAGAATATGCCTTTCTCTGGATGAGGTAGGACTTGGCAACTTTTGCCACCTTAGGAGAAATTTACACATTAAATATCCTCTGACAGCTGGATTAGAAACAGTCATCAACAAGCATATGCACGTAGGCAGGAGGGAAGCCCAGAACATTCACTATGCAGTTGTGGAGGCTCAGCACATAGAGGTAGGAAGACAACAGGGTAAACACAGGTCTGTGTGGATAGGGAGACACTGAAGGTGAAATTGCCTTCACGTTCTGGTAAGGCTGACCTTGGTCTTGACCACTGCGCCGGACTTACAGTGTCACTGCTATATTGGAAATGATCTTGTGTGAGCATTCTTTGAAGCCTGGGTGTGTAAACTTACCTGCATTTCCATGTTAATCTATTTCACCAACACAATGAAAACAGCAGCAGGCACACTTGGATCTTCACAAACTTACCATGCGCGAACCAGTACGACTGCTGGGACTTGTGAAAAATTTCATACTTTAAACTTTTCAAATTTCCCTTATAAATTCTCTTTTGATCACTTCCCCAACACACATTTGGAAAACTCTTTAGAATATCAGGACTCTTTCAATGCATATTAAATAAAGGAAGTATCACATTTACCATCATTTTAAGTGGTGATTTGTTAATAACAAAGCAGGAGACTTTGGTGTTGGCCTGTCCATGGATGCATTTCAATGCAGCCACTCTGATGCAACTGTCTTTGATGGAAAATTTGTTTTATTCTTTTTAAAATTTTTGCTGATGTGTAGCAGACAGTTCCAATCCTATTCCATCCCTAACCTCTCAAATTTTTATGGGATTCCTCTTTTCACTTTATTTTTATATTATTTAGTTTATTTTCTATAATAAGTAGGTATTAATGTTATACTAAAAGTGTATGTTAAACTTTTATGCTGGGTTTAGTGGCCCATCACTGTAATCTCAGGTACCTGGAGGCTGAAGCAGGAGTATCACAAGTTTGAGGCTAGCTTAGACAACTTGGTGAGATCCCATCTCAAAATAAAGCATAAAAGGGCTGAAGATATAGCTCAGTGGTAGAGCACATATCTAGTATGTGTAAGCCCCTGGGTTCAATCCTCAGTACTGCAAAAAATAAGTAAAACAAAATTTGATTGGAAAAAGAAAGAGTTAGCCTCTATAATCATATAAATTCTTCCTCCAAAACTATCATTCCAAAAACATTTCGTGGTAGTATATACATATAAGAACAGTCAGAATCTAATTGAGAATTTCCTAAACAGTGTTTAAAATAATAGATCCAATTTTGACACACTTTGCCTAATTTGTAATACATTTGCTCTATCAATCATGCTCCAGAAATCTGTAGAATGTGGAACTGTCCGCTTTGTTTTTCAACATTGGTGACTGATAGCTCTTCTTTAAAAAATTAAGTTTTCTGTCCCCTCTCCCCTCATTCTGATATTTTTAGGTCTATCTATTAAGATTTTTTTTTCAGTGTTGGGGATGGAACCCAGGAGCTCAGACGTGCTAGGCAAGTGCTGTACCACTGAGCTACACTCTTAGCCCTCATCCATCAAAACTATTTTGGAGAACTTCACTTTCTGAAATTTATCGTGGGAAAACAACAGCTGAATTTCCTGCCCTCCTTTGTGCATATAAAAGTTTGTCAGTGAAGAAAAAAATTGAATATTTGTGTTCTGTCTTTACTAAGTTGTCCCAATTTATACCATCTTATTTTATAATTATTTACTATAAAACTATACAATTATTGGAGTGGTAATTAGCATACAGTACTTGGTAATAAAATAGGAAATATTTTTAGGTTATATTTAAATACTATTTGCCAATTAAAGAATATTCTTTTTCAGATTTGGTAAGCCATAAATGATATATGTTTTACTAGTTTGAAGGTCAGTCTAAGTCAAGAAAATGACAGCAATTACCTAAATAAAACAGTTAAATATTATTGCAAAATAAGAGCCCTTATGCATGTTTATGGGTATACTTACAGTTACTTTTGAAGCATGCTGTTCATTGGCCTGTGCTTGTGGACATTAGCTGATAACCCTAAAAGCAAACATTGGAAAAAATGCAATAAGAATTCTATTTCAGTTACCTATAGCATTTTCATGTACATATGAAACCTGACTGAAAAGCAGGGAGGCTGCTATCCAAGCTTACACACATAAAATCATTTTAAGGGCTGGGGATGTAGCTCAGTGGCACCGCCCCTGCCTGGCAAGCACAAGGTCCTGGTACCAAAAAGAAAAACCCAATTTAAAAACTGAAATATCAGTACAGCAGTATATCAGTGTCCATCCTTCTAATAGAGGAAATTAAACATCAGTTAATTATTCTAAATGAGTCAGCAAAATTCTAAATAAAATGTTATGTTTAACTATTATTTCAAAGAAAAAATGTACAATGCAGGAGTAGTTAAATGGTATTTGACCCATAAAGTGATATTAGATAAAATGTTTGAAAATCAGCATTTTAGTATCAATTCCTGCAACAGTATAAGCTACCAATATTTATTTGGAGATGGAAAAGCAAAATTGAAACAAATATTAGCCAGCTATATTTTTTGTTGTTTGATGAATAAATATGGTGCAATAATGTTAATATTAAACATATTTTAAGCATGAAAAGACTTTCAAAACATGTAAAACATGACCAAAATATGCTAGAGGAATATTAAAATATAAAGCAAACACTTCTATTCAGCCAAGGAAGTAAAATATAGTGATGAGAAAAGTATACATTGCATTACAGTAAAGCATAAGATCATCTCGATTCATAGTAGTGATCCATTGTACCTGCTGTAGCTCCCACTTAAATTATTTTATCTAACTGTATAAGTGCCCTTGGTGGAAATGAAATGGTTGTGGCCAGCGACTGCGGAGAATGGAATTACACCCTCCTAGTGGCCAATTGTGATTAGTGCAGGGAGTACAGTGTGAGCTATGATTTTGATTATCTCATTTAGGATTTATTTATTACAGATTCTCCTCCCCATTACAAGGCTGAAATATCTTGTAATAAAGCATTTGGGCTCTTTCATAAAAATTCACCTAATCTGATAACTTGAAAATTGTTTCCCACAACTTACCAGCTAAACATTTTTTTGTGATTTCTGTAACACTTCAGGGTAGATTTCTAAAAACCTGAATTAATTTTGAAAAAGTTTGGAATACTGTACCTTAATTAAAATTAAAACTTTTCCTAACTATAGTATTCCTTATATTAATATTTTTCATGTACTATATACTGTCTTATTTTTTCTCTCAGCTAGTTATGCATCAAGTTAAGGCATATGTTATAATAAACATTTTGTCATTTCAAGTTTCTCTTCACTTTACTGAACTACTATTTTTTAAATTCCCAGAATAACTTTGATTTTAATCCTTTTGTAGGTCAGTAACTGAAGATAGAAAAAAAAATCTAATCACAACCTTGTTCTACGTACTAACCCACACACTATGCAATTTCGTTCTACAAAAATAATGCATAGAATATTTTTAGATTTCACGTGTGTAATCCTAATGTTGTAGACAACTCAGCTAAGTTAGTTAGAATTATTATAGGCAGTCCGACAGGCCTAGGCCCTCAAAGGACTCAGTACAAGAGATATGCTACATCTGCGGAGGAGCGTCTGTTGAGGCCAGGCCTCAAGACAAAAGATGGAATGACTGCACCTACATACTTCCGCTAGGGATAAACAATGATTGATATGTTAAATAGGCATCAGTCACCCGAGTGATAGGCCAGGAAGAGCCTCTGACCCTCTTCCTCCCAGAAAAGTCCTTGTTTGTTCCGCGTACACTTGCTAGGTGACCTGCTTCCCAGTTGGATTAATATTACCTAAGCAACTATACTTGCAGTCTTATTAGTTGACCATAGTTTTGTCCCACCTTACATCTGCCTCCTGATTTTGCTCTATAAAACCTCCTTGAGAAGCGGTGTCTTCCACCCACTCAAGACCTCCTCTCTTAGGTAGAAGGTTTCTTTTTCCCAATAAATATTTCCTGCTCTTAACCTCCGTTGTTCCTTAGAATTCATTCCTGGATTTTGTGGAACACCAACTTGACATATCCGACATCTAGCAGGTTGGGAGTTATAATACTGCCCTGATATTATTTGGATTATTTAGAGGTCTCTTATCATTCCTACATCACATTACTTTTGATAATACTTATAATGAATTTATAAAAAGACATTAAGACTAGTCTTATGATTATTCAAGAGCGATTTTGCCCTAGTTTTCGTACAAAAATTATTGCTTTTGCTTTCATCTCACCCTAGTGAAGACATTATAAAATAGAAGTTTCAATTAAAAATTGTGCTCTAAAAGTCATAAGAATCCATAAAATTTAATGGATATATTTTCTTCCTTACTTCTCCAACAGTTGAAATAATAGGACAAAAGCAGACTTTAATGTGCAATTGTCTCTCAAAGAAATACTAGTCTTGCTGTGGTTCAGTAGTCATTAAAATACCAGTACTCAGTCCTGAGCAGGATGAGTAAATGCTACCTTTACAGAAGAGTTTAATCTTCTTCTTTGGATATTCATACTCATTTAAAAATAAGGTGCCTTCTTTTCAGAATGAAAACGGGACCACAGATGGACCAGAAGGTGCCTTTCTACTGCTTACTTTGTGTTCTTAAGAAATCACTGTTAATGAGTATTATTTACATATAATGTGCAAGTTTTAAATGTGGAGTTCTGTTGGTTTTGATAAATGCTTGCAGTAGGGTAATAGCAATTTCAGTGATGTCAAAGACACTTTTATCCTTCTCCTTCACCACTTTCTGAATTCAACCACTATTGATTGTTTTTGCCTGTTTGGGGAGTTCATATAAATGCAACCACACAGTAGGCCCTTTGCTTTCTCTATTTCATCTGCCTTCTGTTGAAAACATTTTTATTCTCTTTCACTAAGTTTTATTTATAGACTGTTTGAAGCACATATACCCAATTTTCTTATCATGCCGATTTATTAACTTAGATTCCCTATGTGTATTCTAAATGGTGATAATAGTTGTACAACTTGGTAAGTACATTGAATTTCATGTCAATACAACTGCTAAAAAAGAATTTGATGTTGAATCTATTACCTCAAATGAAAAATCAGATTTCAAAATAGCTTTGAAAGACTGCATTGTGATAAGATATATGGTATCTATATATATTAATTTCACATACAAAAAATTGAAACATTTTATACATTTAAGATCATGAAAGAACAGGTTTAATTAAAAAATAATTCACAATACCTGATGCTCTATATGTACATGCAAAATGTGTCAACACTTTATTTGTGATGTGGAAGCTGGAGAAAACATTAATAAGATGAAGTCATGACAAAGACAACTAAAGCACTATGACATCTTTTTAACTGAATAAGATACATTTGAAGGGCAATTTTTATCTTGCTGCTTTCTTATTTCAGCAAATAGTCAATGCTTATGCATAATTAGAATGATGAAAACCTTTCTGCTTGTGATGATTCTTTTAAATCTTTGGCCTTAACCCTGAACCATACAGTTGAGTGACTTCTCTGGTGAGAAAGCTATCAGGCCTATAAGCATCCAATATATGGCAAGTCAAAGCAACTCCATACCTTTTTTGTCATAGGTGAAAACTGTATTCGATACTTTAGTTGTAAGTCTCTATTATGGTTTATATACACTGAAATTTATTTTGAAGGATTCTATACATTTTCATGCGAGTTTATCTCTTTTCAACCTTTTTGTTTAAATTATGCTGGCATATATATACAACTCGTGATTTTCATTTTTAAAAAGTTAAACGTAATGAACTCAGAATTGAGTAAAAAAGTGAGTGCAAAGTCGGGCATGGTGGTGTACACCTGTAATTCCAGCACTCTGGTGGCTGAGGCAGGATCACTGTGAGTTCAAGGCCAGCCTGCCTGACATAGTGAGACTCTATCTCAAAAAAAAGAACAAAAGTTTCTCTGAGTAATATTTAAACCCAGATTCTTAAAATACTCTAGATAGAAAGTAGATTTATTTGATACTCTGTTTTTATTAAAAATCTATTCATGATATTTACTCAAAATGACAAGCTTCACTATAGCAGTCACAGGAAAAATTCAATATACTTTTAACAATGTGAAGTTATATAGTAAAAGAAAATATTTTAAAGTTAGAAAAATACATAAAATGGAGCTTTAAAATTTGACTTTAATATACGTTGCTTTTAAAATTCAAGTATCACATTTATAGTGATAAATTATGAAAATACATGACTGTTATATGTAAAACTAGAGTAAAATAGAATTATTCATTAGGTTACAAAACTATAAAGGTAGAGAATATTCAGTCAAACTATTTCCTGTTATTTTAACATTCTTTTCTTCCTTCTTAAATGTGATTTTGGGATATTTAAGGTGAATCTCTCTGGTCTTTTAAAAATATTATGACTATTTTTTTTCCATTTTGCTAATTAATTGCCAATTACTTTGTGTGTGTGTGTGTGGTGCTGGGAATCGAACCTAGGGCCTTGTGCGTGCAAGGCAAGAGCTCCACCACTGAGCCACATCCCCGCCCCCATTACAATTTTTTAAGATTCTTTTCTCAATTGCAGTACTCTTAATAGATAAGATTTTGCATGCTTATTAATAAATGGCTACTCTCATTAATAAATGGCTTATTAATAAATGGCTACTCTCTTCTAAAAAATGAGCAGAAATCTTTAAAAATATACATGTTTCTGATTTGTAGAAGAAGATATATGATAACATCATCTTATTTGTCTTTCATTTAGTTGAAAACAGTGTCAAGTACTAACTACATGCTACACTGAGACTATGCTCTGTGCATTAGTATTTGGCATATTTTTGAAACTTTGTAGTCACACAGAACTGGGTTTGAATCCTGGCTCTGCTCCTTATTTGCTGCATGTTTTGGTATGTGAGTTAGCATGTCTTAATCGCTATTTCAAATTTCTTATAGTTGTTGTGAGAATTACATGAAATAATATATGTACTTTACTAAATGAAGACTGGAATAGAGTAGGGGCTTAACATTCACTAATTTATTTTCT